AGTTGAAGTCCAGCCTGAACTACATAGCAATAAATAAATATCGGCATGTTGAACTGGCATTTTCATTTGATTTTATGAGCAAAGTTCTTCTTTGATTGTTTCTGTGATCCACTGATTATTCAAGAAGGTATCATTTTAGGGGCCAGGGATCTATCACAGCAGCATAAGTGTCTGCTTGGCAACGGCAAGGTTGTGAATTCAATCCCAGGTACCAAAAAAAAAAAAAAAAAAACAAGAGTTTATCATTTAACTTCTATGTTTATGCATGATTTTTTGGTTTCTTTTGGCATTAATTTCTAGTTTCATTCATCTTTAATATGCATGAGCTGACTTTGATTCTTTTGCATTTACCATAGCATGCTTTATAGGCTAGTACTGTGGTCCATTTCGCAGAAAGCCCTGTGTGCAGCTGAGAAGAATGTGTATTCTTTCGTTGTTGGGTAGAATACTCTGTAGATATCTATCATGTCTATTGTTTGAAAGTCTTGTTCAAACTCCGTATTTCTTTGTTGATGTTTTCTTCAATTAATCTATTTGTGACAGTGAGATATTAAGGTCACCCACTATAATTATATTGATGATGAGCTGATCTTTTATGTTCAGTAGTATCAATTTTTCAACATTGGGTATGGCCAGGTTCAGTGCATATGAATAACTGTTATCTTTTCCCATTCAGTTATTCCCTAAAACAATATATACTGACCATCTTGCCTCTTTGCTAATGGACATTTTGGCTTGAGGTTTATTTTGTCTGAAAATAGCCTAGTTATTATTCCTTCTTGTTTTCAAGTTTCTGTTGCATGGAACATTTCTTTCTGTCCTTTGATTTGTCTATAATTTCTTTCTGGATGAAATGTGTTTCTTGTACACAACTCATCATTGGAATTTTGTTTCTTGATCCATTCTGTCAAGTCATGTTTTTGATTGGGTAATTGAAACCACTCACATTGAGACCATTCACATTGATCATTATTACTAAAAGGTATTGACTTATGCCTGTCACTGCATTATTTTCTTATTGCTGATTCCCTTTATTTCCCTTCGCTTAACTGCTCACCTTCACCCAGGAGCAGTCTGCAAGCCTGACCTGGCCCCAGATCACCAGTGCTGGGAGACCAGGTGCAACTAACAGATACAGCAGCTGTTATTGGGCTGTGTGCTGGTGCAAGCAACGTCTCATTGGATCCTCACAAAATACCCTGGGAGACACCTATTATTATTATTTCTATTACACAGCTGAGCTTACCTGAGTTAAATCATTTTTCCAAAATCCCATGGATATAGCCCATCATTTCTCTGCCTTTTGGCTAAAACCAAGATCAAGTGAGGTGTTGTAGCAATAGGTCCATCTCTTCGAAACGCCACAGCTCCTTTGCTAGGTTGTAGTGACCACCTCAGTTCCATGCCTTCAGCCACAGAAGACACCAGAGAGACATCACTCTTTCAACCCAGTACCTTCTAACCTGCTTCACACCTTGGTACACAAAAAGGCACACTTTGTGGATAATGGGTCAAGATTGTTTCAGGTAGAAATGACAAGCCTAGAATACTCCAGCTGGAAAATTCGGGTTAGCTATTTATAGTCCAGTCACATCATCATTCCAAATCCTTTTAGATCTCTAGGACTTCTAAGAGAAGATTAAAAAGAAAAATTTGAAAGTATAACTTAATGGAGATGAGTTATTTTCTCTGAGCACCCATGGAAGAGCAGCCTTCAGCTTCCACAAAGGGCCCACGTAGGGCCTGGGATATATCTCAGTGGCACAGTGCCTGCCTGAAAATGTGAGGTCACGAGTTTGATCCCCAGTACCAAAAAAAGGAGAAGAGGAAGAAGGGGGAAGGAGAGGGAGAGGGAGAAGGAAAGGAGAAGGAGAAGGTGTTACAGTGCTCAGTGTTACAGGTGACTGTGGATGGGTGTGTGCAAATGTAAGCTGATGTCTATAAATAGAAACAGCCTTCAGGGGAAGAAATTTTTTAATTTGAGGCAGAAAGAGACATCTAGTTTCCTGTGGATAATCAGAGCTGCCTGCAGCAGAATCTTTCCACAGATTTCCAGAAACTATACAGACTAACAACAAGAGCACACTAAGCCACAATCTGGATGGAGATACAGATAGAATTCTAGGTTCTGAAGAAGTCCTCAATGTTGAATGAATCAATCAATCAATCAACCAATGGCACAGCCACACAGGAGATAACGTTACTAAGGACAATGTACTTAACAGATGACAGTCCTGCATGCCGAACAATCCTTACATGCTGGCCTCATGCGCCAACATCAGGAGGACAACACATAATCAGGATCCAAATAAAGGCCCTAAATTTAGGGTCAGACAATTCAGCGTTTAAATTTTTAAACAAAAATTTAAAAATCAGACAAACCATGCTGTAGGACAACAATTTTCAGGGATTTTAGTCTTAGGTAACTTTACTTCTTTTTTCATTACTTTTGTTTTTATTTTATTTTGTTTGTTTTCTGAGACAGGTTCTCACTAAGTAGCCCAAGATGACATTGAATTTATATTCTTCCTGCTTCAGCCTCCCCAGTTACTAGGAAGAAAACTCAATTTTTGTCGTTGGTAGGGATGTTTTCCTTAAAACGACAGGTTTATCTCATTTTTGAACAGATCTCTGATACATAACTAAGTCTGAATAACCAGGCTGTTAGTCACTGTCTCAATAAAAAGTGCCCCATGAGCGAAGCAGCTAATTTAACTAAGGGTCAGATAATCGCACGAGCCAGTGCTTCTCCAGATGGCTCTCACACTTGTGCAACACCAGTGATTCCTGTTAACAAGGCTCCTCCCACATATCAAGCCAGCTAAATTTCTCCTTACACTGTGCTCTGAGTGTTCCTGCCAACCATCAACCCCTAGGGAGAGAAGTCAAAGACCAAACACCTAACAGACAGGTGGACAGGTTCGTATCAGGCCCTGAGAGGAAATTCCAGTTTCAGCTCTTTGCAACCTCTGCTTTGGAGCAAATCTTCTCCGCATCAGGCGGAACTTCCCTTCCTGGGAAGGTCTGTGAGCGGCACCAGGGCCTGCCTATTACCAGGTTCTGAGAGGAGGACCAGGAAGGGCATGTGCCCCTGCTCTAAAGCACACAACCAACAAATCGCTTCTCATCATTAGGAAGCAGTGCAAACCGAAACATAAACATATTCTTTTGTTCAAGAAATGCTTGAGTTCACCCCACAGGCAGCAGGCACACAGCAGGCCCAGAGGACACTGCAATGCCCGAGACAGGGTTCCTGAATCTGGGGAGACCCAGATTCTTCAGCAAGTCTTGCAAGAATCTACAGGCTCTGGTCCTTGCCTCTGTCTCTGTTTCTTCTCCACCGAGACAGCATGTAGATCCCTGAGCAAGTGCCCCTCCATCCCAGCCCCACGGGCAGCGGCAGGGTTCCCATCTCACCCAGGGCGGGACATTTCACTTCATGAATTGAGAATGTTTTATGATTTAAAAGTAACCATAGCTTTGGGTTTGACCTCAGGTTTGGGTTTGACCTCAGGTTGGCCAGAAAGTATGGCAGTGTTCTGCTTTCATGCAGGGATGGGGAGAACCAAAACCACCTAAAATATATAAAGAAAGGGTGGCAGAAAAAGTAAATCTGCATGGTAACATCCTATGAACCCTGTCTGCTCAACCTCTGTAGTATCCACAGTGTCCTCCCTTCGACTGCCATTCTTTCCTGCCCGGACGAGGACTGTGGAGGGCACGTACTCAGCCAAGATGGGGTGGCACAGGGGGAGGCGATGAAGCTCTTGGGCAGGGAGGCTTGGGTCTGCAAGCATATTCTGGGACAAGACCAAGGGCCCAGAGTTACCCCTGGAATCAGCCCCACATGTAGCAGGATCTCTCAAGGGGGCCTGAGAATCCTTCAAAGGAAATTGTCCGAATGCAGAAACTTCCTCATACAAATGCACCCCAGGAAGGCAAGGTGATTGCAAAAAAGAATCAGCCGAGGTGAAGACACCAGGTATCAGATCCTTTCCTGCCAGCACCGTGCTGGCACAGCTGGCATCAGGGACCCATTTAAAATGGAGAGTTGTAAACCAAAGACAAGAGAAAGAGGTCACATGGCTACCTGACCATCACGTGTACTACCTTAATCTCACTGCCCCCAGGGCCATGCAACCTGATGTAATATGAAACGTAAGGATGACAGGTTAGCAAACACACCCCAAATCACATCATTACTAAGTGACAGAGCTGGGACTTCAATTTGAATGTGGCTCCAGAGCCCTCTTAGCAGGCCACCCTGCCTAACTCTGAGACAGAAGACTCATCTTCTATTTGCTGGCAGGCAACTGTTAGGTCTTCCACTTTTTGCATTTAAAAGCTGTGGCTGAGGGCCATGTCGGACAGCATATGGGCTCCATGCAGGGCAGGTGGCAGGGAAGGCCATGTCTCTGCCCTGTACCCTGCCCTCCAGCTGGGGCCGCCACCTGCACTTCCCGGGGACATGACCCGTGAGCAGGCTCACTGTCCACTCCAGCTGGCAAACAGCAGACAGAACTGGTAACCAACAGCTCTTGTGGTGCCCTCACTGACCAGTCTTGTGCCAGAGCTGGGCACACCGTCTGACACCTCAGGAGTCAGCACACAGATCACACAGGCACCAGTGAAGAAGAAGCCATGGAGCCAGCGCAGGGCCGGTCAAGAGCAAAGGACATCAGCTCTCTCCACAGCCCTGGTCCCTCTCACTCTATCTCTTCTCCTGGTGAGAGGCCTGGGGTTGGATCATCCCACTCCTGTGAAATTAATGCATCTCTGCCAACTGCTGATACAGTTCCCCGGCTGGGGCGTTACCTCCCCCTCAGCTTGTCTCCTGAGGACCTCCCTGATCCCCCTCTGTGCTTCAGGGACAGCTCTGAAAAATGACCTCTCTGTGTCACTCACACCTGACTTGCCTGAGTTCTCAGCACTCATTATGACAGCACACAGTAGGGCAACAACCTGTGTCCAGGGAATATCAATTGAGAAGAGACGGGAACTTTCACAAATCACTACATTTACTTCACTGTTTGTTAACCAGCAGTATGTGTTAATCAGCACATTGGATAACACTGTAACTTACATGATTGTAAGGACACCAAAACACGGTAGCACATGCCTCTGTCTGAACGCCCCTGGGGAATACTCAGGCCCGCAGGTGGCTTCTCTGCATGTTCTGGCTGCTCCGCCAGCTCTCACCACCCTCCTGGGGCCCATCCTGTTCCTCCCTGCCATCTACCCTGCTGTGACAGTGGTAAAGCAGGGAAGGGCCAGCACAGGCTCATCACAGGCTCCCCGAAGCCTGGACACACCAGTGTCCGCCACAGCTGCTTGGATACTCTTCCTAGTTTCAGGTAATATTCACTTCATGCCTCAAAGACCCTGGCAACTCCTGGAAGGCAAGGATCAGGGCTTCTACTTCCGGAGCGAGGGACACAGCTCAGGAGGAGCAGTTCCCTAGCAGACTGCTGGGCACGGCACAGCGGCGAGCGATCTGGGATTCCAAGCTGGGACAGGACGAGCTCACAAGCAAATCACAGAGACTGACACCACATGCTGCAGCAGAGATGCACAGGGCACTGTGGGAGAGGGAGGCGGCCACGCAGGACGGCTTCCACAGAGGGATGCTGACTGGTGTGTACACATCCTGTGAGAGGCACTTCGTCTTCACCGTACTTCATCCCCAGTGAGGAGGACACTAAGCTCAAAGGCAATGCCCTGGAAAAACCGTAAAGCTGGGACTCAAATCCAGAGCTGCCGAGATTTAAAGCCCATTCTCTTCCCTCTGTACGGGTGACCACCTATGGGGACATGGTCTCTGGGGCTCAAAGACTGGTAAAGAGACCTCCAGAATAAGTGGATCAGTTTCAGCGCAATGTAGAAAAACAAAAACACGAAAATGAAAAACACAGAGAAGAAACAAAAAAACACCACGTTGTCCCCAACTTGTACATCATAACTGGCAGGCAAGGCAAACAGAAAGGCTGCTGGGAACATGGCTGCGGCAAGAGAAGCCGCGGAACACATGCAGCTTCTCCTGCTTCAGTTGTCCAGCTCTCAGCCGACAAGGCCAAAGAGTATTCCGAAATGCTGCCGCTGCTGCTTAGCTCCAGAAGAAGCCCCGACTTTCCTTTGGGCTCTGAGCTCTCAATGTTGTTTTCTATACTGCAAGACAGAAAGATGAGAAGTAGGTGAGGGAAGCCAGTGGAGAGAAAGAGCTCAGGAAATCTGGAACCCCAGTCCCTGGGCCTCCACCACCTCCTTCAGGGGCTCCTCAGAGGCGGTGACACAGTCAGGAGTCACTAGATGGTCAGATCTCTAGTTGCCATCTGGACTCTCTCTCTTCCTTAGAGGAAGGAGGAAGAAACTGAAGGAAGATGGAGGGAGGCTTCTCTGGCTTCTGGAGAATAAAAATCAGGCAGAGGAGGACCCTTAGAAACCAGAGAAGAACCCTCAGCTAACTGCTGCGTTAATTAAAAAGTAGATCTTTAAAAAAAAAAAAAAAAAAAAAAGTAGATCTTGAACCCCACATTTGGAGATTCGGATTTAGAAAAATGGGATCTGTTGCAGGTCTCTAGGTCACTCTGATACCAAACTCCCCCCCAACCCCCGTTCCATCCAAGCAGCCCCTTACCTGTTTCCCAGGTGGATCAGCCTCAGTGAAAATTCCCCAGAGACAGGGAGCTCTCCCCGCACCCCACCCCCAAGAAGTCCCCATCTTAAAAGCATCACAATGCTGCCACCAGCTCTGGCACTTGGCTTCTAAGAAGACTTCCTTTCCCTTCTTCCTGTGCCCATCTTACCTTACTCAGCACTGTTGGGCAGAAATCTGTTCTTAAGAGTGTCCCTTATACATCCCACAACCAGAAGGGACCACCCTCAGCTTGGGGACCTCAGTACCGTCTCTTCTCAAATGTGGGGCAGGGGCGACCCCTGGTGGCCACAGAGCGTACCGCCATCATTTTCATTTCTCTCCCCCCATCCCCTGACCGGTGACAGACTTACTTTGTTCATGACCCAGTCGGCATCTTCAATGGCTCTTTTAATAATCTGCTGGATTCTCTCAGGGTTGTCCTCATCTGCATGAACCCGGAAACTCTGTAAGTTTCAACATAAGGCTGACTAGATAAAATCCAGAGTTGGCAGTCCCAGGCCAGATACAGTACTAGGCACTTTCTACTCCGCTCCTCTGAATTCTCCAAGGCTATGATGATCCCATTTAGGGCTGAGGAAACAGGCTGAGAAATCCTAACTTGCTGCTAAGCAATAGCTTTGAATCCTAGTCTATCTGACCTCAAAGCTGGCAACCCTGCCAGCAGAGCAGATGAAAAGGAGGACTGGTCCCTGGGCCCAGAGGTTATCAGGCAAGTTATCAGGGCACAGGGGACACTTCCATGTCTCCGTTTCATTTGCTCCTTGGGGGTGGGGATATACCTCAGTCGCACAGTGCCTGCCTGGCACACATGAGATCACCAGTTCGATGCCTGGTACCAAAAATAATTTTTTTTTTTTTTTTGCTGCTTTCATAAGGAATTCTCTTATAGAACCATAATAACCAAACTCAGAAAATATAATATTGATACAGCACTGTTATCCACAGCCCATGCTCCAGCTCCATTCCCTGATGACCCCTAGAGCAAGTATTTTTTTTCTGGCCCAGGATCCAATCTGGGTAATGCATTACATTTACTTGTCACATGTCTCTAGTACCCTTCATCCAAAGTATCTCTGCCTTCTCGTGTGTCTCATGAAGCTGACATCTGTGATGGGTACAGGACAGGATGTTAACTGGAGGAGGGTCCCCCAGTTTGGGTTTACCTGATGTTTTAGAGCAATTAAATTCAGGCCGAGCACTCTTGGCACAAAGATGCGCATGTCCTATTGTCTGTCTTAATTATCCTCGAGCTGCCTTGTTCGGTGCTGGCATGCTCAATGATACTCCTGCACAGAAGCCAGAGGGAGGAGCTGGGCTCCCAGCACCAACTCCTGGTGCCTCGATCCAAACTGCTACCCTCTGCTCCATCCAAAAGACTACCCTTTACCTGGCCTCTGACATCCATCCCCTCTAGGACCCAAGAAAAGGTTAACCCCCCCGAACCCATGTACCCTCTCCCACCTGCCTGACAGCATGTTTGTAGTGCTCCTGGATACCCTGGGTCGGCAGCTGCCGGCAACAGCACAGTAAATATCTATAGAGCTGCAGCGGCCTTTGGACCAGCTCTGCCCCCGGCAGTGGGGCCATCGGCGAGACCTCTGTCCTGGAAAACACAGAGCATCACATCTCAGGCATCGATCCAAGTCCTACCCTCAGTCCTCCCTGCCAGTTCCCAGCCCTCTGTGGGATAGGGTAGATGACACACAGTGGTTAGGACCTCCTGCTGGCCACCCCCATGGGGTCCATGTCCTGGGTCAGGCTGTGTGCTCAGTGTGGTGATGCGCTCACCCCAGAGCAGCCCTGCAGAGACCAAAAGTGAGTAAGAGAGGAGGTACGCAATGTCAGCGCTGCCCAGGAGCATCCCAGAAATGCACAGTCTCAGGTCCCAACCTGACCTCCTAGACCAAATTAATCGAATGCCCAGCAGATACACATGCATGTTAAAGTCTGAGAAACAGGATTCTTGGGGCTCTGCATAAAGAAGCAGTTAACACATGGAGTCACCATGGTGAAGCCGTATCTTGTGCCCATGATTCCATTTTATTGTGCTATTAACAATAATTAGCACTTATTTGATGTACTCACTTTCCATGTAATTATTGCACACGTAAGAAAACTAAGCACAGAAAGCTCAGGTAACTTGCCCAAGATCATACAGCTGATAAACGTAGAGCTGAGATTTGAACCTCTAGCTCCAGTACCCACTTGAAAAAAAAATCAGTTTTACTACGTGTCAATATGCAACTGCACATATTTTGAAGCAAATTATGAAGTATGGATGTTTTCAAGTGATAGGTTCTGGGGAAGGAGGACTTGCTAAATTTTCATTATGTGCCCCCCCCCCAGCTCATAACAGTGCCTCCCTCTGTGCCCACCATCCCAAAGGCTCCTGCTCTGAGAGAGCATCCAGCCTGCTGCGCCCCCCTGCCCCCACCAATCATGCCACACTGACACTGAACTTGGGAACCAGTGTCATGGTACCTCCATCAGCTACAGATTCCAGGACTTCTCCCAGAACCCCCAAACCATCAAGAATGTCACCTCTCAGAACTCCTGCCCCATCTCCTCCATATGAGGAACCTCGTTCACCCTTCCAGGTCCAGCTCAGTCCAGGACTCAGCTGACTGTCCCTCCCCAGGGACAGAGGGGATCACTGTCCTCTGCAGGACTGAAGCCCCCTGTTCATGAGCCACATACTTCCTGCTGCCAGGGACTGGGCTGCTACCATGCTGCTGGCTCCCTCAAGGCCAAGAGCCCAGGCCCCAGCACAGAGCCTGGCCCACAGCAGTCTTCACACACTCTAGTTAAAGTGAATAGCAGGAGGTCAGGCGTGGTGGCACATGCCTGTATTCCCAGCACTTGAGAGGCTGAGGCAGGAGGACTGCTACGAGTTTGAGGCCAGCCTGGGCTACATGTCGAAACCCTGTCTCAAAAAAATAAAATAAAATAAAAACACCATGAATCTACCATCTCTATGCAAATTTCCCCTATATGAGAGAGAGGCTCCCTACCTTTAGATGAAGCTAAAAGAGATTAAACGACTAGCAAAGTTTTAATGCAATATTAAAAAAGGGAAAGGCAACCTTCATTTCACACACACACACACACACACACACACACACACACCCCAAGAGAAAACCAGATACCAAATCTATCAGAAGTGTTTGCACTAAGGAAGAAAACTTATTAAGAGGCTGGGTTCGGAGGCCTTAGCTCTATTTCTAAGTTTGCCTTCCCAGCAACATAATTGTCTTCACAGCTAAGCCTGCTTCTCTGGGCTTTGGCTCTGACAGTGGAGCACACAGGTGGTCCCAACCCCACCCACCCTCTCACTGTGTTAAGGGCCCCTCTGTTCCACTTGGGTTGCACTCCGCCCCTTGGCTCAGCTTGCCAGACCAATCAGAACCCTGGATTCATATGAACCCAGGGATTGGTCCACAGGTATGCACATGCCACAGGCTAGTCCAATCAGAGTAAATCTCAACACCTCTGCAGGAGGAACTGAAGAACTCCAGCTCTTTCCCACTAGACTATATGCCCAGGAAGACTTACTCCCTCAGGGAAGCCGACTTGCCTCCTCTGGAACCAGGGTCACAGCAAAAGGGAAAGCCGAGAACTGAGAGACCAAATCTCATTTGTGCTGAAAATATCCACCTAAAGGAAGCCCTAGCCTTAGCCCTCTCAATGATCTGAGCCATGACACCCCCATTAGTCAAAGCAGATTGGGTTTGCTATTTTAGCAGAGTCCTAATAATAGAAAAATCCAGGCCTCCCTCCTCTGGTGCTTCTCAGGAAGGGTCTAAGCATAGCAAGAGGCTTCAAGTTCCTTCTAACACGAATCCATTAACTCACCAGTCCGATTTGCCGTTAGCCCAGCAGAGGTGATAATAGACAAATCCAGGCCTCCTTGCTCTGGTGCTTCTCAGGAAGGGTCTAAGCATAGCAAGACGCTTCAAGTTCCTCCTAACACGAATCCATTAACTCACCAGTCCGATTTGCCTTTAGCCCAGCAGAGGTGAACCCCATACAGTGTTGCCAAGACCTGCGAGGGCAACCACAGAGGACACACCCCCACAGTCCCCAGTGTGCTGGACAGTCTCCCCTGGCAGGCTTCCCCAGACTATATAAAGTGCTAATCAAATATTGTAAAATGCTAGTCAGATAACAGATGGTTACCATCTGCAGCCTTCAAAATTAACATTTGGAAAGAATACAACTTTGTTTCATTACTTAAAAGCCCAAGCAAAACTTAGTAACCAACCCAGCAAGTATGGGTGGTAGATTATTTTCAGCTCAATTATAATACTTAGTCATTCCCAGTAATAACTAGTAGAAAATACATGTGTGGGTCCACTTAAAAAAGCTGAACTAAAAATGTTTTAATTTAATTTAATTTAATTTAAAGTGTGGGTTTGCGATTATTTAAGGGCCAATGAACTTCACAGTATCAATGCTAAAGCGACAGTCATGCCCTGTGGCCCTGGAAATGCTTGCTTTCCTTACCCTGCTGTGTGGACTTGACATTAGCCTCCTACTCCGCTCACTGCTTCCTGATGACACCTCTGTCTCCCAGGCAACCAAGCTAAAATCATCAGCATCAAACTCAAGAAGTCCTTCTCCCTCAAGCCCCAAGCTTCTGGTTTCCAAGTTCTATCAAATTTGACCTCTAGCTCTCCTCAAATTTGCTCCCACCTTGATTCAAACTCTTACCCTATCTCAATTCCAATGGTCTCTAAATTGGTTGTCTGGTCTTCCAATCCATTTCCTTCTGATCTAGTCCCCACCCAACAGCCAGACTGCCTTTGAAACTTAAATCCTTTTCCCTTCCTAAAACCCTAATACCCACCTCACTCCTGAGTATTCATGGCAACTTTTCCAAAAATATGGGACAAACACCTGAAAATACTTTAAGCAATTGTAAGAAAATGCTCTAATACTTCATAGATATTACAACTTAAAACAATTTTTGAAAAGGAGCATAAAATTGATTTTTTAAAATGTACTAAGCAAATAACCAAGCAGTTGAAATGTGGATATGACAGAAATTGTGACAGTGGCACTGAAGTTTAGAAAGCACTAGTCTACAGAATAAATCCAGCCTCTTCTCAGCCTCCAGGGCCCTTTTGTCCTGGCCTTCGCTCACCCTTCATCTGCACCTCTCATGGCTCAAGCCAAGTCCAGGCAGCCTAAACTGCAAGGGCACACGTGCTGACAGCCCAGGTTGTTTTTGTGCATGATCTCAGCACTGTGACAGACTATGCGTGCGTGCGTGTGTGCATGTGTGCGCGTGTGTGCGCATGTGTGATTTATTACAAGGAACTAGCTCACATAATCATGGAAGCTGGCAAGACCAAAATCTGCTGAGCCAATGTCTGGGTTCTAACACAATGCCTGGAAGCCACTGTGCCCCAGTTCAAAGGCAAGAGAATTGTCTGTCTGTCTGTCTGTCTGTCTCTTTCTCTCTCTCTTTCTCTCTCTCTCTCTCTCTCTCTCTCTCTCTCTCTCTCTCTCTCAGGAAAGGCTCCAGCTTCTTTCCAGCAAGGCCTTCAATGGCCTGAATGAAGCCCACTCATTTTAAGGAGGGCAGTCTGCTTGACTCAGTCTACTAGCTTAAATCCAAAAAGAGCCTCACAGAAATACCCTGAATCTTTGACCAAATACCTGGGTACCATACAGCCCAGTGAACTTGACACATAAAATTAAGCCTCCTGATAGAAACTCAGTGTCTATCTGTTGAAGGAATTCTCCCACATCTGTCTAGGATACCCCTCTCTGCTTCCAGCAAATCATCTGACGCATCCTTCTCTTAAGGCCCTCACTGGCCCAGTTCTCCATTCCATGCTCAGTGGGAAGCCCATAGTGTCCTCAGAACAGCCCTCATTACCCACATCAGCCTAGCCCAGGCTCCCTGTGCAGGCTCTGGTATCTTCCAAACTGTACATTAAATGATACCGTGAATGACTGTTCATCCTTAGTTTTCTTGGAAATAATATGTTGTAGTTCTGTGAGAAATGTCCTTTTTTTTTTTTTTTTTTGGTGCTGGAGATTGAACTCACACCCTCACGTTTGCCAAGCAGGTACTTACGCTAATGAGCTAAATCCCTAGCCCTATGTCCTGATTCTTAGACATGCAAGCAGAAGCTGTTTCGTTTTGTTTTTGAGATGGGGTCTCACTATGCAGTTCAGGCTGGCCTTGAACTCACTATGTAGCCCAGGGTGGCCTGGAACTCACAGCGATCCTCCTGCTTCAGCTTTCTGAGTGCTAGGATTACAGCCGTGCACCACCACACCTGGCAAGGGGAAGTATTGAAAGCAGATTGTCATTAAGTCTGCAATTTATTTTCCAATAGTCCAGTAAATGCAGAGGGAAGGGAGGAAGCAGAAAGAGAGGAAAGAGAAAGAGTATGAAAGATAAATGGCAAAATGTCAGGGCTGTTTCATTGTAGGTAGTGGACACCGTGCTGTTACTTTGACTTCTGTATACTGTATTTTGAAATTTTCCATGTGAAAATGTTAGTACAGTAACATTCCTAGCAGGAAGTCATCCCTCAGCGGAGCGCCCCCTAGCAGCAGGGAACTCACTGGCACTCAGTACACTTTCACTCACGCTGCTGGGAAGTCCCTCTGGTTCTGCACTAAAATCTGCTGCTGTAAAATTCTATACATTAAAAAAGAACAAAACTTCTATTCATTGGTCTAAGCTCTGCCCTTTGGGGCTAAAATCTTCCCTCATCTGGCCCCCAAGTCCAGGTTCTTGTTATCCAAAGTTGACTAGCGTAGCCCAGTTCCAACCGAGTCCTCCAAAAGGTGACAACTTGTGCCATAGAATCCCATCCCAGCTGCTGCTCTCCGCTGGACATACTCCCGTTAGAAACATCACTCTTAAACACACGGCCAGCAGTGTGGCTGTGTTTGACCTGGGAATTCAAGGAATGCGGCTCAGACTGCATTCTCCTGGGGTTCCGGGGAGGCTCACATGGCCCTGACATCCATTCAAAGGCACCTTCTTTCCCCCCATGAACTGTAAGTCTCTTTCTCCACCCTGTACTTACTTCATTCAGTCTAGAGTCAAAATCCATCACTGATGGCACCAGACTCTGTATTCTTAAGCTCTCCATAACAAAAAGACAGAAACATCTTCAGAAGACAGTTCAAAAGCAGAGAAAGAGAGCAACATTAGCTGCTGCTATGCATCCCTCACGCAAGCAACACCATTCAGAGCAGCAGTGTGTGCAGCCAGACATAGCCCCAAGACCAGAGGTGTACATCTGATACACCTTGCTCTCCACTCGAGCCGTCTGCAAAGCTAAAGGAATATCGTAGTACCTACCATTCAGGGAGCAATTATTCCTATGTGAGGCGTAGGAAAGCTTTTCCTGTTATCCCACTCAATCCTCGCATTATCACTGGTTAGACATCATGAACCTCACTCTACAAATGAGGAAGCTGAGGCTCTGAGAAGTTAAGTAACTTTGCCTGAGGCCACACAGTTTATGGTAAAGTGAGGAATTAAACTCTGAGCTCTCACTTGCGTCTTGCTACTGTTATAGACAGCTAAGTTAGGTAGAAATATTATAGGCTATCAGACAGGGCTAGGCCCTCAGGGAGTCAGTGCAGAAGAGGATAACACATTACAACTGTGGCTGGAGGAGCCAGACCTCAAGACAGACAGAATGATCAGACCTACCCACCGCCCCAGGAGAGTTGGTATGACCTGGTCCAATAAAGTCTAGATAAACATCAGTCACCCAAGTGAGTGACCAGGACCCCAATCCATTCCTTACTAAAAAGGTCTTTGTTCTCCCATGTACACTTGCTATGGGCCCTGCTTCCTCATTGGATCAGTATTACCTAAGCACTACGCTTGTCATCTTATTGGTTGATTATAGTTTTGACCCACATTATATCCACATTATATCCACCTCATGATTTTGCTCTGTAAAACTTCCTGTCTCAGGGCTGGGGATTTAGCTCAGCGGCATAAGCGCCTACCTTGCAAGTAGGCAGTCGTGAGTTCGATCCCCAGTACCAATAAAAAAGAAAAAAAAAAAAAAACTTCCTATCTCTCAGGAGCTATCTCTGTCAATAAATTTTTCTTACTTTTAATCTCTATTGTTCCTCAAAATTCATTCTTCAGTTTGGGGGAACATAAACTCATTATATCTGACATCTGGCAGGTTGGGGGTTGTATCATCTTGTTTGTATCAATACTACCTTCTATGTCTATATCTGAACCATCCATATAAGTGCTGAGCAGACTGGGCTGCGGACTCCCACCAAGAACTCTCCCAGAGCTCATGAAGGTCCAGGCTGCTGCATTTTGAAAAGCAGTCACCTGGTGACTGCTCTCTCTCAACTGGCACCTCTCAACCTTCAACACAAAGCCTGGCCTCACACTTTTCAGAAACACAAGGATACCATCCACTATCCCCCTGCGCAGAGACAGATAAAAAAGCTGATTGATGTCAATCACACAGATAAAGAAAACAGGAACTAAAGAAATGCTAAAACAAAGACTTAGAAAATCCCAAGGAGTACATGACAAAATAGTAGAACAGTAAAAAGGAGGAGGAAGAAGAGTGAGAAGAGGAAGAACAAAGACCAACCACAGAAGGAAATTTCTGGAGCCCAATGCTATGACTTAGAATAAAGGCCCACAGTCCATGTGACCCCACTGCCTTTTGTCTAACCTGTGTCCCAATACAAGGTACCTAAAAATAAGTAGGAAAAAAGCCATATATTAAAAAGAGAAAGGAAGACTGGAACTGCAGAAAATAACCAGAAATTATGTCCTATTGAGCACTGATAAAAAGCTAAATTAAGCCTGCACAAGCCATTTTTTAAAATACGCAATTATTCTTCTTGATGGGAAAGTTGAAAAATAGCAACGGCTTTGCTCCCTGCTTTCACCAACCGTAGGGCCCCATCCTACCAGTGTACATTCCCCAATCTGGCAATGGGGAGCAATCCTGCTCCTCCAGTCCTCCTCCCATGGGTCAAGGCCTCAAGGCTGCCCACCAGACCCCCGACCCACCCCATCACCTCCACAGGACGCTACCTTCCCGT